GGTGGTGGTAGTGATGTGGATGTGGGTGGTGGTAGTGGTATGGGTGTGGGTGATGTGGGTGTGGTATGGGTGTGGGTGGTGGTAGTGGTGTGGGTGGTAGTGGTGGTGTTGGTGTGGGTGGTGTGGGTGTGGGTGGTGGTGTGGGTGGTGGTGTTGTGGGTGGTGGTAGTGATGTGGGTGTGGGTGATGTGGTGTGGGTGGTGGTAGTGGTGTGGGTGTGGGTGATGGGTGTGGGTGGTGGTGTGGGTGTGAGTGATGTGGGTGGTGGTGTGGGTGGTGGTAGTGGTGTGGGTGGTAGTGGTGTGGGTGGTGGTGTGGGTGGTAGTGGTGGTGTGGGTGTGGGTGGTGGTGTGGGTGGTGGTGTTGTGTGTGGTGGTGGGGGTGTGGGTGGTGGTGTTGGTGGTGGTGGTGTGGGTGGTGGTAGTGATGTGGGTGTGGGTGATGGGTGTGGGTGGTAGTAGTGGTGTGGGTGTGGGTGATGGGTGTGGGTGGTGGTGTGGGTGTGAGTGATGTGGGTGGTGGTGTGGGTGGTGGTAGTGGTGTGGGTAATATGGGGGTGGGTGGTGGTGTGGGTGGTAGTGGTGTGGGTGGTGGTAGTGGTGTGGGTGTGGGTGATGGGTGTGGGTGGTGGTGTGGGTGTGAGTGATGTGGGTGGTGGTGTGGGTGGTGGTAGTGGTGTGGGTGGTGGTAGTGGTGTGGGTGTGGGTGGTGGTGTGGGTGGTGGTAGTGGTGTGGGTGTGGGTGATGTGGTGTGGGTGGTGGTGGTGGTGTGGGGTGATGTGGGGGTGGGCAGCAGGGGGTGGTGCGGGTGGGTTACCGTTGCTGGCGCGCTGCCGGATGGTCAGCATCTGCTCCCCAGACAGCTTCGCCTTCTTCATGGCTGACGTGGCTCGTGGGCAGCCTGACAAGCTGGGGACAAGATGGAAATGCGTTAGTCGTGGGTCTCGGGAGTGGACGCGGTTCTGAGCGGGCCAGTCACTGCGTCATCTCCTTTGGCTGCGGTGGCTCAGGGCCATGTGGACACCGGCGGGGGCGGCGGGGCCCGGGGGCCCCCCG